AGACAGGCACCCCCAGCTTCCTGAAGCAGAAGGGGAGCCGGGGCTGCGGCAGGCGCTGAGGTTGCCCACAGAGAGGGCAGAGGTTGGTCTGCAGAGGCCGGGCAGGGAGGCCTGTGGCTGCCCCGCCCTGGCTGAGTTCCGCACACAGGAGGCTGTGTGAGCTGCCTCTGGCCTGGAGCAGCTGTTATCCTAGGAAGTAGCTGAGGGAGTTTCCTGCTCTGTGGAAGAGTCTAAGGTATCACCAAAGTCGACCAGTGTCTGTCTCCCAAGGCTGGCTCCTGCTCCTCCTCCTCAGCTCCGTAAGACTGAAGGTGTTTAAATCAAGTTCACCGTCTTCTTGGCCAGCCCCATCCACTGTCTGAGTTCTGTTTGTTCCCCCACAATGTTGTGGAATCCCAGCCCACCCCCTAACTCTCCACTGTTTATCTAATGCTCCTGCTCCTCCCCCATCCTGTAGGGCTCATGCCTCATCTTGCTCCACGTTCAGCCTCTTTTCCCCATCTGCAGCCAGAGTCTAGTTCTTTCAACACATTTTAGATGTCTCAGTGTTATCATGTCTTCTTCCACTCACAAAATGTCCACAATACCTTCCTGCCTTCTAGACGGAAGCTTCCATTCCACACGACCCTCCCGGTAGCTGGGCTACCTCTCAGGCCCAGCCCATCTGTTTTGGTCGTTGTTCTATTCACTGGGGGCGTGCTTAACGTTTCCTCATGGCAGGAAGCAGACAGGCATGTCCTGAGAGCTTTACATCCTGATCCACAGACAGCTAGCAGAGACTGGGCCTGGTGCAGGTTTTTGAAACCTCAAAGTCCACCTCTAGTGACACACCTTTTCCAACAAGGCCACGCCTCCTCATCCTTCCCCAAATAGGTCCACTCCTTGGTGACTAAGCTTTCAAATATATGAGCCTATGGGACCATTCTCATTCAAAGCACAACATCCTGTGCAGCCTGGCCCCTCCTCTCAGGCCAAGCACAGCCCTGCAGCTGTCCTCTCTGTCTGCTCCCCCAATTCCAACCGCTTGCATGGGCTTGCTGCCTCTCAAGTACCCCCCCCCATCTCCTCTGTCTCCCCAAGAGAAGGACTGTGGGGCTTCCCCGTTGCTGGCAGCAGCTCCCAGAGTGTAGAATGTGCAGTCTGCACTGGCCCAGGCACGCGTGTAGGAACACTCAAGATGACCTGCTGAGACAGGACTCTAGGCAGCTGCTTCTGAGCCCCCGGGTGTGAGGACCCACAAGGTGGCTTGCATAAATAAACAAGTCTCTCCATAGTCCTATGGCCCACAGAGGAACCATCACACTCCAGGAAGACAGAAGGACCCAGCCCGTTTGAAGCTGAGGTTTGTTTTTTGTGTGTGGGGTGGGTGGCAGTCGCGACCCAGCCATTGATATCCCTCACACATTTAAAAGCTGAGCCCGCAGGAAGGCTCAGCTGTTGAGAGCAGTTGCTGCTCTGGAATCCTAGTACGCAGTGGCTGCTCAGGGCAGCCTGGAACTCCAGTTCTAGGGGACACTCTTACGGCCACGGCGGGAACCAAGCACCCTATATATGATATCCTAAAAATAAGTAAGAAAATAAAAATTTTAAAGTTCTCTGGGATAAGAGGCCCGATGGTCGGAGAACGGGTCCTAGTGGATGCAGTTTGTGTTCCAATGATCCCACAGTCTGAACACTCATCCTGGACACAGCAGAGTCCGTGTGAGCACCCGGGGCTTCTGCGCTCTTTGTTCCAGCTGTCTTTCTTTCTTTGGTTGCTGGGAATAGAAACATGGGCCTTAGTCAGCAGTGGTGGTGCCCGTCTTTGATTCTGGCACTCAGGAGACAGAGGCAGGCAGATCTCTGTGAGTTTGAGGCCAGCCTGGTCTACAGATCAGAGAAACTCTGACTCAAAAAACAAACAAATGAAAGAAAGAAATTAAGAAAGAAGGAGAGAGAGAGAGAGAGAGAGAGAGAGAGAGAGAGAGGGGGAGAGGAAGAAGGAAGATGGGCTGAGCATCTGAGCATGTACTCAAGGGCCCTCCCTCAGGGCCGTTACATTTGTTTTATTTGTTGTATGTGGGGGTCTCAGTATTCTCAGCTGGCGTTGAATTTACCATCCTCCTAGATGATGGACATGCTGTCACATTGGCTTTCTCAGATTTAAAAAGAAAAAGGTGTGTGTTGAAAAGTTAAATCCCCCAGTAGTAACACCACCACTGATGTAATAAGTCAAATCAGGCTGAATTAGTAAATCCAGGTTTAATTTAAGCAGAGCAAAGCAACTCGTGGGTGACCCTTGGGAAGGCAGGGGAGGAATCACATGGCAAATATGGCTACCAAGTCTTTCTTATACAGACTGTGGACGCGGTCTTGAGCAGTCCCAGGAGGGGGCTGACTTTTGGTGGACTTTCTCAGGGTTTGGAATGGGAGGAGTGGGACCAGAGCGTGGTGTGTGGCCCCTAGCTGGAGACCCCAACATCCCAACCTTTCTGGGTATGTATGGATGGTGGTAGGGCTTCCACCTAAACGTGTGTGTGTGTGTGTGTGTGTGTGTGTGTGTGTGTGTGTGCGCGCGCACACGCGTGGTGTGTGGCCCCTAGCTGGAGACCCCAACATCCCAACCTTTCTGAGTATGTATGGATGGTGGTAGGGCTTCCACCTAAACGTGTGTGTGTGTGTGTGTGTGTGTGTGTGCGCGCGCGCGCGTGCACGTGCACGCGTGGTGTGGTTTCTGCATAGGTCATGTGTGGACAGCAGAGGTTGGTGTGAGGATGTTTCCTTCCTTAACACTTTTTTTTTTTTGGAATTATTTGTGGAGATTGGTTGTGGCACAGCTATTAATCCCAGCACTTAGGAGGCAGGGACAGGAGGATCTCTGTGAGTTTGAGGCCAACCTGGTCTACAAAGAGCAAGTTCCAGAACAACAGGATTGCATAATGGAACCCTGTATCTGTCTGTCTGTCATCTATATTATTTAAAACATTTTTTATATGTGTGTATGTGCACGTGAGTACAAGCGCCTGCAGGGCCAGAGGAGTCGGATCCCTATGGATACCTCTGGAGTTGGATTACAGGCAGCTGTGAGCCACCTGACTTAGGTTCTGGGAAATGAACTTGGGTTCTCTACAAGAGTTCCTACTCTTTAACCACTGAGCCATCTCTCCAGTTCCTCCATTTTACTATCATTCTTTGCAGATTTGTTTTATATTACAGGTTCTGTGTTTTCCCCGTGTGTATGTTTGTGCACCTGCTGCCCTTGACTGCTGGAAGATGATGTATTCCCTGGAACTGGAGTTATGTGAGCCACCACGTGGGTGCTGGGGACTGACCCTAGACCATCTACAGGAGCAACAAATGTTCTTAACCACTGAGCCATCACTCCAGCCCCAATCTACCTTTTTCCCTTCCTCCCTCCCTTTCTACCTCCGTCCCTTCCTTCCTCCCTCCCTCCCTCCCTCTCTTTGAAATACAGTCTATTATTGAACCTGACACCTACCGTTTTTTCCTAGGCTGCTTGGCCGTTTGGCATCAGAGATGTCTGTCTCCCAGAGCTGGGTCATAGGCACCTGCTGTAGAGCATTTTACCCAGTCATCTGCTGATCATTGTCCAGATTCCAGTTTAAAATATTCTGTGTGTTTTACCAGCTGGTGAGTATGTGTCTGGTGCTGACACCATTAAAAGGGGGTGCAGATTCCCTGAGCACCCTCCAGCCCCGCCACCACATCCCAGCTTTAATGTAATTCTTTCCAGTGAGAGGTGGAGACCTCAGAGGTAAAAAATGAAAATGACCCCTGCTCTTGTCTTACTTGACCTTCACAGGTAGGTCAAGCCTCAGTTTCCCCTCTGCATCGTGTGCTATTGAAGCCAACTTTCCCACTTACAGGATTTCCTGGGCAACATGTAGGGCAAACCTTGCTGGGGGTGGGGGGCAGATTTGTAAACTGTAGACAGTCCCTCCCTCCTTTATCCCCTCCCTTTATTCCCTTCCTCTCTCCCTCTCCTTCCCTCCCTCTCTTCCTTCCCTCCATCTTTTACTCCCTCCCTTTCTCCTCCCCTCCCTCCCTTTATTCCCTTGTTCCCTCCCTCTCTCCCCTTTCTTCCCTCCCTCTCCTCTTCCTTCCCTCCCTCTTTTACTCCCTCCCCTTCTCCGTCCCTCCCTCCTTTCCTTCTTCACTTCCTTCTTCCCTCTTCCCTCACTCTTTCTCCTTCCTTCTCTCCTTCCCTCTCTCCCTCTTTCCTCCTCCCTCCTTCACTTCCTCTCTTCTTGAGACTCTTTTTTTTCTTTTCTGTACAGCTCTTCTTTTAGTCCCTGTCCCCAACTATCTTCTGCAGCCCATGCCAGGCCTGTCCAGGCAGTCCACAGAATCCCTTGTGGCACCAAGAAAAAGGTCACAGTCCACAGTGGATCAAGAGGCCCTTAGCACAGGCAACGAGGTCCTTGCTTCCTGGAGTGTCCCCGAGGGCTGGGCTTGCCCAAGGAGGGACGAAGGTCCCACAGCAGGTGGGGCCCTGAAGCCTGGGACAGAGAGCAGATCAGAAGGGCCAGGGAGCTCCCAGGTTCTGAGGTGGGTGCTGGGGCAGGGGCAGCTATGGGCCTGTGGCTCTTCTTAGGACAGAGGCAGGGGATGGCTGTTTTGCACACAGCCTATGGCAGGTCTGAGTCAAAACACCTAAGGCCGACCCCAGCTGGTCATGAGGAAAGCTGCCCAGTCATTGCCTTATGCTGGCTTGGGTCACCCAGACAGGCGAGGCGCGGCCCAGTCAGCTGTGACTCAGGCCACAGTGGCCTTGCCACGCAGCCCAGGGGCATCGAGTACAGGGACGCCCCCTCCCCACACCCGGCCCCGCTGCTTCTCCTCCTAGCAACCCAGTAACACCTTCCCCACCCGTGCCAGCCTCTCTGTGCTGTGGGCTTTCTACCTCTGGGGTCCTCAGATTGGGGGTGGGGTGGAAGTAGGGGGAGCCTCAGGCCATCAGCTCTGGACGGAAGTCAGGTGGGGGGCAGGGTGAGGAGCCAACGCCTGAGAAGCCTCTGCAGGAGAGGGAAGGAGCAGAGGGGCTCAACCACGATGGTGTTGCCCTGAAGACCAGACGAGCTGTGCACACCGTGACGGGCTGCGACAGAGACCACGGTAGGCTTCCCTTGAGCGGGCAGGATTGTGGGGCGCTGCTGCTCCCCACACTTATCCCCAGGAGGGTAGATGGCCCATCAATTGCTCCCCTGTGCGTCAGGGGCAGTTGCTGGCCCACACAGCTCTCCAGGACTCCGGCTCCCAGTCTGTAATGGATGCATTGTAAGGCAGGTTCATAGGGTTCTCTTGGAGGATGTCCAGGCAGAGCTGGAGATGGGCTGAGACAGTGCCCTGTGGGTTAAAGTTCATGGGATAGAGGGCAGGGGGAAGAGCACATGTATTCCAGTCTCGCCTTGTATGATGGTGGCAGGATAAGTTGATTCCGAAGGTAGTCTTGATTTCTGGGTTTCCAAGGGACATTCAGGTTCCATTCTTTCTTTAAGAACAGTGGGGTTCTGAGCCTGCAGAGACCTCCTTTACCCTGTCCCTCCCGAGTGGGCTGCAGTGGGTGGCAGGGTGTTCTGGGGAACTTAATTAGCCAAGGTCACCACTCCTCTGCCTTTGACCTTGGGCCGGATCAGAGCTTGGCAGGTCTGTGAACCTGGACATCCTGGCCCCAGAACAGTGACGGGTGTGGGAAGAACAGAAACCGGGGCGGTGTAGAGACCCGAACTGAGGACTGGTTGCCCACAGTTAAGAGAGGCACTCATCTATAACTTGCGGTCAGTGCTTCTCCAAACCTGGTAGAGCTGCCATACAGGAGATGGTCCCCAGGATCCTGTCCATGCCGCACCATGTGGGACAAAACAGGGTAGTGGGGAGCCTATGACCACAGATGGCACAGTCAGGTGTCTCTGGGGTGAATTTTGTTTGTTTCTCTTGCTGTGTGGATTAGGGCAGCTCATTTTCCTCTTCTGGGTCAACCCGGCTCCCCTGTAAGACGAAGAGCCTGATCCCCACCTGGAAGACCTGTCAGGCCAAGGTGGGAACAGGTGGAAGGACCCAAAGGGGCGCTGCCCCCTCCTCCAAAGCCAAGGCTACACCCCCTTGGTCATGGCATGTGGTTTCAGCACCCCCTTGTGGCCACTCTTCTGGGCTTCACCCTGCAAATGTCAGGCAGGGTGAAGCCTCTCTGGGAGCCTTCAGAGGACCCTGTGTTGGCTGATGGCCTCTGCCCACCCTCGCCCTGAGCCCCAGGCACCCACTCACTTCCTCAAATCCACCAATCCAGCTCCACCTACCTGCTTGCAGCAGCTGAGTTGGCATGACCGCTGTACCTGCCACTCCTGGGCAGCGGGAGGCGCTGTTGTCCAGGACTTGCAGCTACTAAAAGTTTTCATGGCAAGGAGCCCTGAGCTCAGTTTTCCAGGATACTGAAGGGGAGGAGGGGGAGGGGGAAACCATCCACATCTCCAAGGTCAATGACTGGTTCTAGTCAGGGAAATGGAGTCTCAAGAAGCAACTCCTCTGTGGAGTCCTCAGAGGCAAACCAGCTTTGAAGCCCTGGGGTCCCATCACCTTGGAAGCCCAGGACAGGTACCAGGCCATATACTACTAAGGATGGCCCCTGATTTGCTATGTGGCTTTTGGAAAGTGTCATCCCCTCTCTGGGCCTCATCTTTGAAGTTGTACCAAATAAAGATGTCAATAAGAAAACCAGATCTGTGGCTTTGCCAACACATGATTGGCAATACTGTTACCAAGTTTACACACGTTGAAGCAGGTTTGCGTGATGCCTCGGGTGGCCCAACTTGCACGTGACAGAGTTAGGACTGGATCTGAGGTCTGACAGATTCCAGGGCCCCTGGCCCCTCTCCTCCAGCCCACAAGGTCACACCCAGCTTGGAAAGATAGGCAAGGATTCTGTGTAGTGGAGGTGGGGTGCTAAGACCAGCGCTAGAGACGACCTCTTCCCTTTAAGAGGGTCCTCAGCTAACAATCTGGAGGTCAAAGTCGGCACTGGGGAAATGTCACAGCGGAGGGGTTCACAGAGGGCCAGGCACAGGTCCCACCTGGAAAGGGAGGGAACGGAAGCAGGGTCCAGGGGTGCGGTGGGGTGAGGCTAGCTGGGCAGGAGATCAGAGCGGATTGTGTCATGGGGCCATGTGGCTGATAAGCGCTGGCCACCTGGCAGAAAGAAGGAGGTGCTCCCCTGGGGTGCCTGGCTCAGAACCCCTCACAGATCTTGCTGCCACAGCCACCCTTCGACTTCCTGGGCCCATTTTGGAGAGGATGGGGTGGGGTGGGGTGGGGATGCAGCCTTTGCACACTTTGTGGCCCTGAACATTTCATTCAACTCCCTGAGCCTCAGTTTCCAACTATGGCAAAGGAGAAGTGCCCCAGATGAGGGTGGGGCTGGAGATCTTAGGGTGTCTTCTAGGCACTCTGCCATGATTTTCTGGAGTGGAAGGGGGGGGGGGCCCTGGAGCTGATGAACATGTCAGCCTTGTGCCCTGAGAGGGTCCTTGAGATCTGCCGAGTCCCAGGGGTTTAGGGCTGGTGTGAGACTGCAGTCAAATCCGCGCTCCCTGATAGGGCAGCCGGTCCTGGTTGTGTCCTGCTGTCCTGGTGGCTCCACCTGCCCTGTCCCACAGAGTTCAGTTATTCCTTTCTTTCCCAGAAAGCAGACAGTTCACCCAGACAAGTCTTCCTCTTAACCTTCCTGGGAATGGGATCCTTCATTCTTCTCATTATTTCGTTGCTAAGATCTTAAAAAAAAAAATTTTTTTTTTCAAGTCTCCCGGGCACTGAGAGTTGAGACAGGGCTCAGGCCACCTACCCAGCATCACCTCTTGGTCCAGTTAGGTGGCCCTAGTGAACTCGCCTGGAATAGTGGACAGAGATGAGGCCAGGCCCTACGTCTGCGGCCAGCTCCCAGCTTCCTGTGTGTCTGTCCGCTGTTGTTTCCTGTTCTGTTTATTGCCTCCAAGTTCAGGAAACCAATGAGTGGCACCCCCCACACACCCGTGATTATTTAATAGCAGCCGTGCTACGGTCTCTCTTTTGGAAAACCCAGTGGGAAAAGGAAGCTGTCAAGTCGGCTCTGACATCAGCATTGTCCCTGTGCCAAAAGTCAGGGTGGCCAGGGTGGGAGGGGTAGGGCGGGGTGAGGAAACCAGCTGCCGGTGGCCCCCGTGACACAAGGCTGCTCCATGGTTCTCAGGGGCAGGGGCTAGACAGGGAAAGGCAGGGATTGACAGAGACACAGGGGCACATGCATACATGAACATGGGGTCATGCCTGTCTACCAGCCAGACTCACTATCCTTTACAGACACACGCGCGCGCGCACACACACACACACACACACACACACCAAAGGACTTGCAAATTCCAGCTCTGTCTTAGCCCCCCAAACACAGGCAAACAGCATAATCGAATGCACACGCTTGCATGATAGGGCCAGACACAATAAACACAGAGTCATGCTGACCCCATTCTGGCTGCACACACCCACAGTTCACTGAGACTCCACCAAGCGTCTGCCTCACAGGGAGCCTGCAGGGCGCCCTCTTCTGGATTTGGCTGGGCCTCTGGGCCTAGCCCCAGTCACTTCCTCCTCCCATAGTGCCTAGGAAGGGCTCCTGATGCCCCTGAGGAAGGGCTTGGTAGTTGTGGCGGTCTCCAGCCTCACCCAGGTAAGGCCAGAGCAGGGCAAGGATCCCTGAGGGTCTGAGGCTGAGGAAGGAAGTGGTTTTGGAGAAGCCGGGCTCCACAAGGGACTTCGTCACTGCTCAACCTGATGCCAGGTCTCCACCCCCACACCGTGTCCCTGGTCTGCCCATACCTGGGCCCAAGATGCACCTCTGTCCTGTTCCTGAGCTGGCTTCAGTGGCAGCCATGGTAAAAGTCAGACACTATGTGCTGCCAACTGCTGGGTGACTTTGGGCAAGTCACGCAGATTTTCTGGGCCAGGCTTGCCTTACTGATTCCCATAGTAAGAAACATGTGGGCACATAGAGACAACCGGAAAGAATACTTCAGGGAGCATGCTTGCCCTCGCTCTGGAAATGTCCAGGAATTTCATTATTCTATTTCTCTTTGAAAGCGTACTGGCTCCTGGTAACTTGAGCCTGTAACCCATGGAGCGGTAGAGGCCAGTATCTCTGCCTGGGACAGTCCTGGATATTCAGGGAAAAGAGAGCCATAGCCTAAGTGTTTACACAACATGGCCACAAAATACTGGGCCAGGGCGATCATAGCCTAGTTCACAGATAGAGGCTGGAAGGTAGTGTCAGGGTGGGACCAGCCACCCACCATGCCACAACCTGGCCTCTGGCCCTGCTGATGCTCAGCTCTGTGGGCTGCCACTTCCTTTGCAATTTCTATCAGAAGTGAAGGAGGGAAAAAAATGCAGCCACTCTGATTCACCTCCAGGAGCTCCGATTCTTGACGCAGAACCAGTCAGGAAATGTCGGGGTGATGCTGGGGCTGCTGGCCGTTGGCCAGGCTGCTTCTGGCTCTCCTTTGGCCCTGAGCGGATGTTACTGGTGTCGGCCAGAGATGTGATGGAGTGAGGGTGAGAAGAGTCAGGTTCCATGGTAGCACTAGACTTCGCCAGGACCGTGAGACAGGAGGGCTTGCTGGTACTCTCCAAGGATGCCGGCTCCCAGGGGTCATGCCCACCCCCAAGGACTGAGAGCCCCTCCCCCCCCCCCAGCCACCTCAGCTCTAACCATGAGGACTATGCTGGGTCCAGACTCCTAACTCCCCCAGAACCGGAGTTGACAGAGCATCTATTCTGAACCATCCTTGTTTTACAAATGGGAAACTGAGGCTTAGAAACACCATGGCCCAGGGCCACACAGCTGGAGTGTGGTTTGTGTTGGATTCAGACCTCACTGTTTTCCTGGATAAATAGCCCACACCACCCTCCACCTGGCAACACAGCCCACTTGTTTTAAAGGTAGTTAACTTATCAATTGGAGTGAGGGCTGCAGGTCTAATGGCACCTTCATTTCTCAAGGTGGAAAATGGAGGTGCCTCTGCCTCTTTGGACGTGGCATTCCCTGTCAAGTCCATGCCAGGCACATTCCTGAGTCTCCTATTTCCTTTAACCACCTGTCGTGAGCTCTGGCCTTATGAAGCACCCTCCAGCCCTCAGCTTCCTCCTCAAACTAGCTCCCCTTCCAGGTGAGGACACCAAAGCCCAGCTAAGGCTTTGTTTTTTGAAAACCTGAGCTCCTCCAGGGCAGGGAAAGGGTGCAGAGAGAACGGGGCTGGCCTGACTGTGGGGGCAGCTAGGCATCTGGGTCACCAGTCTTGGGGAATTCCCAGTGCCCAGAGAGCTGCTTACTTACCTGCTGAGTAACCACTGCCCACACAGGATGCCTGGCTGACAGGCCACCTCCCCAAAACTCTGTAAGCAGTCACAGCCATGTAGCCCTGTAGCCCTTTCTCCTGAGTCTGAGTGCCCCAGGGCCCAGGAAAGAGACAGCACAGCAGGCAGGCAGGCAGGCAAGGGGGCTAGCCCCCACCCCCGCGTCCTTCCCCCAGGGGCTCTGCAGGGGGGCAGCTGGTGATTCAAATTCCTCTGAGCTGAGCTTCTCAGACGGGGTCTGGGGGGTGAATCAGCTCCCGCACACGGGTGCTGTAAAGTCCAGCCAGCAACTGTCTTCGGCTCAAGCCTCTACTGGGGTAGCTGGTGTGTGTGTGTGTGTGTGTGTGTGTGTGTGTGTGTGTGTGTGTGATATGTATGTGGAGGTAAGACAGGTGTGTGTAGGTCTGTGTAACAGGTTGTGTATGTGGAGGGGTGTGTAACAGGCTGTGTGGGGGGTGTTGTATGGCACAGGAAGGCACACTACCATACCAGTTCCCTCTATCCTGTCTGCTCATCCTGAGGTATCGCTGAAGGGGAGCTGTGGGTGAGGAATATCCCCTTTCCTGTCTGTTGTTGCCCTTGTCTCCGGAGCATGGCAGTTTCTTCATCTTTAAGTAGGACGAAGACCTCTGTTTCTCAGAGGAGTCTTTAGGGTCTATGTTGACACGCGGGAGGTTTGCCGGGTGTCAGGAATCCTGCTGAACCCCAGACCCTCGCAACGAACCCATTATGTGCGTGTGTGTGTGCCATCATTCTCACTTAGAGATGAAACTGAGGGTGAGCAGTGACCACGTCCCCAAAGCCACACACCCTGTACGGCCCTGAGCCGAATCTCCAGGCTGCTTCTGAAAGAGGTCAAAGTCCACGCCTGCTTCAGCCCACTGGAGCTCCTGCCTTTGCCCAGACTGCTTTCAAGGTGTAGAAGTCACATTAACATAAGAACAAAAATAAATAGCGTCTGCTCGGCTGTTCTGCTGCAGGACCCCCTCAGAGCCCTCAGAACAGGGCAGTGTGTTCAAGAATGAGCCCGAGAGGACCAAGACCAGATGAACAGGTCAGGGCTGCAGGGGGCTGGGGGCGGGGCTTCCTGTTTAAGTCCTTATTCCCTCACAGAGGGATCTCTGTGGCCTTGTGAGACGGAGGCTTGGGCTCTGATGGTCTTTGTGTACCCTTATGCATGTGCCTTTACTTGCCCTTAGCGTCCACAAGCGCAAAACAAACAGGCCACTGTGATGTTCTAGGAGAGAGCTGGGATTGCCGAGTGACAGGCAGTGGGAGAAGCAAGGCCGACCGGCTGTGTGTTCCAAAGTGAACGGGAGCGCGGAGGGGTTAGGCCCCCCAGCCAGTCTACAGGTTCACTTCCTGGAGAGACACAGCCACCTGGAGACAGCACCTAGGGCCCAGCACGGCAGCCCCCTATCCTTGCTGAGGGAGTCCCTGTGTGGAAACTGCCTGTCCCCCTCATCCTGAAGCCTGTCAAACCCCCAGCAGGCCCAGTGTGCAGAAGCTGGGCAGGCTGCAGATGAAATCACAGCTGGAAGGGGCTGGGCTGGGGCTGCCACTCCAGGGTGGGGCCCAGGGTCATAACCCTGGGAACCAGCAGCCAAGAAGGGAGGATGCCTTCCTCGAGGCAGCAGAGGGGAAGCACACAGCAGCACAGAGAGAGAGGGAGGGACGAAAGCAAACTCCTGCTGAAGCCAGCCACGTTGCAGGCAGCTTGAAGACAGAGGCCCAGTTCTGCGCGGAGACCTTTCCTGGCATCTCCCCAGAGGCCCATCGCAGGTGGTACTCAGACATGGACTGGAGCAGGAGGCAGGGCCTGGGGCACCGAGGGGACCAGAGCGCTGGGGGAGAGCGGACTGAGTCAGGTACTGTGAGAGGGGAAATTGAGGCACAAAAGAGTCAGCTAGGAGCCTGAAATAAAAAGGCCCTAATGTCAGTGTCTTCTAGAATCTATTCCCATTTCCTGCTTCCTGGAGGGTGGAGCTGAGATTAAATGGCTATCGAGGGGGGGGGGGCTGTAGTATCAATGTGTGGTTTAGGGATCCAGAGGTCAGTGCAAGGCCTGGAGCCCGCCGGAAGGATGTAGAGGAGAGTAAGGAATAGGAACGGAACAGACCGGACTGTGGCCGCCAGGAGCACTGGAGCACTTGAGGGCTTAGCCATGGGAGAGACGAGATGGACAGAAAGGACCACGATGGGTTCCTGGGCTGATAGATTTGGGACCCATGTGAAGGAGGCTAAGCTGAGTCAGAGACCAGATGTCTGGAAGACAATGGTGGAGCTGGAGCTGATCTGGAGTTCAAGTTCTGGTGCTGGTGGTGCGGGCTGGGATGTCTCCACTAACTTATATGTTCAGGAATGGTAAGCCTCAGGTAGGGCCGCCAGGAAAAGACAAGGTGTGTTGGAGTACAGGGAGAAAGAAAGGGTGCTTGGCCTCTGGATCCGGCCCCCCTCCATCACTGGGAAGTACCAAAGGGGAGGGGCGGTTTTATCGCCCCAAGGCTCTGCCAAAAGACCACAAGGAACAAGAATCAGGATGGGGGAGGGTGTATGTGTGGCGGGGCCGGGCGGGGTGGGGTGGGGACAGCAGCTGGCACAAGGGTTCATCCTGGTAGACGTGGGAACATCTGAGCAGATCCTGGATGAGCCTAGAGGCAAGAGCTGGGGGCATGGAGGTGACCAAAGGTGTTTCAGCGCCCGGGCAAAGCTTTGGAAAACCAGTTGTCCCGACATCAGACAGAAGGGTTGGGATATGGTTCTCAGGGCAATGACATCCCTAGGTCTGGAAGGACCCAGTGGCTCTGGGGACAGGATGGCCCTAGGTAGGTGTGCCTTGTCAGTTCTCTCTCACTGCCTTATGTTTAGTCAGGAGACTCTGATCTCATTTACTCCGTCCTCTTCCTCCCTGTCCCTGAGACAGCCAGTAATCCACCAGCAGGGACCCACGCCAGGTGTGCAGACCCTGCCTTAGACTGCAGAAGCACCTGTTGGGAGTCATCGTCACACTCTGAGACCAAAGCACCAAGGGGCTTCCAAGGAGTGATTGGGGGTCATCAGCCATTCCTCTGTGCCCTAAAGGAAGCTAGGGTCCCATTTTTCCCAGCCTCCCTGGATCTCCGCTTTAGGGGTCCCTCCAGAATAGAGGCTGAGGTACCTTCCTGAAGTGCCTCCCCAGACGGTTCCCAAAGAGACACAATTTCACATCTTCCCAGAGCTCTCAAGTGCCAATCAGTAGAGGGGGCATGCTGACGGATGGATGTAAGGGGGCCAGAACCTTTGGCACAATGGTACCATACCCCGGTAGTCTCTCTTTGCCCACTGGCAATGGGCAGGCTAGAGACAGGCCACCCCTAAAGTAGCTTCCAGCGTTCATGTTCTGCTTCACTTTATGACTGTCTAAAGTCCAAAAGGGCCACAGCCCCCCTTCCTGGAAAACTGTGTCTCAGTGGAACACCAGCCCCAATTCTCCTGCTGTCCGGCAAAGCCCCCCTCCCCAGGGTTATAAAGGCAGCCTCCAGTCTGTTGCCACCCTCCAAATCCAGGTGAACCTGGGGCGTCTGAAGGGCACAAGGCTGGGGACCCCATCTGAGTTCCCCTGAGATCTCCTTCCCACCAGACCCATTTACAAACAACGCCCAGAGCAAGCCACTCAGGAAAACCACAGGGCGTTTTTTTGTTAAGACTTCATTATAATTTTATCAATCAAATTCTTAGAAGAAGGAAAAAGTCTGCCCTCCCCACCCTCCCCCTCACTCGTCCCCCTCCCCCCTTCACTCTCACTTTCTTCCATTCATAATTTCCTATGATGCACCTCAAACAACTTCCTGGACTGGGGATCCCGGCTAAATATAGCTGTTTCTGTCTTACAACACAGGCTCCAGTATATAAATCAGGCAAATTCCCCATTTGAGCATGAACTTCTGAAAACGGCCTGCATCTAAGGTCTCCTCCAAGGCCCTCTGGAGTCCAGCCCATAATGAAGGTCTTGGCCGCAGGTAAATCCACGCGCCCGGCGCCGGTTGCGAGTCTCGACTGCGGGCGCACCGGCAGCCTGGGGCACTGGGCGAGCACTCGCGGGACGCTGGCCCGCCGCGCCACTCGGACACTTGGGGCGCCCGCGCAGTTCCGAGCCAGCCGGAGGCGCTGGGTGGCGGCCGGGAGCGAGCGCCGCACATGGTCCGGGCACCGAGCGCTCAGCCAGCCGGGGCCAGCAGGTTGGCAGTGAGGGACCAGGCCGGCGCAGCCTTGCTCCATCGCCTCCACTGCTGGCCCCACTGCTCTCCCGCGCTGCTTTTGCTTCTCCGCTGTCGCCCGGATTCACCCTCCCTCTTTCTTTTTCTTTCTTTCTTTCCGCTTTCTCTTTTCCAACTGCGTCCCGGGCTGCTCCCTGGGAGGGGCGCAGGCGGCTGAGCAGCTTGCAAACTCCGGCCAGGACCGGCGCAGGTGCCGCTTCCGTCTGCTAGTCCCTGGAAAGCTGTGATTGGCGCGAGGTGAGATGCGGGTATGGGTACCCCCGCAGGCATCCCGGGGCCTTAACACTGTCTGGGGATGCTGGGATCAGCAGGGGACACCAGGGGAGTGAACTTAAGGTTCTACGGTCTTTTTAGTCCCAGCATGGAGAGTTCAGGTGGGAGATCTCCAACCTCCAAGAGTTGATTTCAGCCTCTATCACCTTTTGGTGTCTTTAGCCTGGTGTTAGAAAGGCTGGACTGGGGTGAGGGGGCCGTGTAGCTGAAAGTGAAGGAGGGGCAGGCGTCCCGGGGGAGGGGTGATTCTGGACAGGCCCGGACAGCTCCCTGTTCTCCTGACACCTTTTGCTTTCCTCTTGCGTGTCCGCCTGCGACCTTTTCCCTGGTCTCTTTCCTGGTTACACGGTTTCCTCTCACTCCAAAGTCTGTGGAGTTGGGAGCTCGGGTGGTGGGGGAACTCTAGCAAGTTGGGGTGTAGATGATTTGGATGGAGAGTGGGGACCTGCAGAGCAAACAGGTGGAAGGCTCTGCGTAGAACCTCATTGAGGAAGGATAGAGATGGATTAGAGGCAATTGGCCAGGGGAACCAGAATCTAGCTGCAGGTTTGAGAAGAGAGGGCCAATAGCAACCATGACCCTCAGCCTCCGTGGTCCGCAAGGGGTCCAGTTTGGCGTTCTAGGCCAATGAACATCGAGTAAGCTAGGAATCCGGCCCACCCTGACACGGGGAAGGTGGGATTCTTTTCTCTTCTCCTCTGCTGGACCTAATGCCATCCAGTTAGGGGACCAGGCTTTGAGACTTGGCCCTCCTGAGGGACAGGGCTAGACAGTTGAGTGGCCTCCTGGACCCTGGAGCTAGAAAAAAAAAAGGCTCCTGTCTTGATATTTTGCTTCTCCACTCAAAACAATGGCACGGGTGGGGAAACTGAGGCCAGGGAGCAGGGAAAGAGAAAGCAGAGAGAACTGGGTCAAGAGACCTGGAGCCAGGGAGTCAGAAACTGCAGCTGAGCAGTGACGCTATGGAGGGGGAGGGGGGCTTTCTACGCAGCCCCCATGCAAGGAGCCACGAGCCTCCAACTGGTCTTCCAGCTCCTCCATCCAATCCTTGTCTCTTCCCAGGAGTTGTGCCCTTACTGCTGGTTCTGCACTGGAAACACGGGGCAGGGAGTCCCTTACCCATCACCCCTGTAAATGCTACCTGTACCACACGCCACCCATGCCACGGCAACCTCATGAACCAGATCAAGAACCAACTGGCACAGCTCAATGGCAGTGCCAATGCCCTCTTCATTTCCTACGTAAGTTACCTACCTAGGGTCCCAAGGAAGGTGGGGAGCTGCCTGGGCTGGAGGGGAGCCCTTAGGAGTTGGGAGACACAGTGACAAGGGACTTGGTTCAAGCAAGCCCATCCCATCTATGGCTTCCTCCTCACACCCTAGCCCAGGCTGGAGACAGGCAGTCACTCTCCCAAGGTCACCAGTGAGTGGAGGGAGGAGGGCAGAGCTGGGCTGAAAGGTGGGGGCTTGTTACCCGGCTCAGGGTGGGCAAAGAAGAGGGATGAAGCAGTGGGTGAACAGAGGGTGTCAGTGAAAACATTGGGGTGCCCAGGAAGAGACGGGAGGTGATCAAAAGTGCAAGTGTGTGTGGTGTTCTGGCTGAGGTGACGCCTGTGAAATGCCACATTTCCTCTCTATCCATTTATGTCATAGTGACCTTGGTGAGTGAGTTCACACTTTGATTACTGCTGACTCATGATTCTAGTTGCCTCCGAGGCAATAAGTTGAGTCGCTTCCCCCCCCCCCCCCCCCCCCCCGTGTCCCAGGTGAGAAAGGAAACCCAGGGTTGGTGGCAAGCTGGAACACTCATCCTGACCCCCATGTGATCCCCTCTGTTCCTTTGCTCTTTAGTACACAGCCCAAGGGGAACCGTTTCCCAACAACCTGGACAAGCTGTGTGGGCCCAACATGACAGATTTCCCGTCTTTCCATGCCAATGGGACTGAGAAGACCAAGTTGGTGGAGCTGTATCGGATGGTCGCGTATCTGAGTGTCTTCCTGAGCAACGTCACCCGGGATCAGAGGGTCCTGAACCCCAATGCCCAGAGCCTCCACAGCAAGCTCAATGCTACTATAGACATCATGCGTGGGCTCCTCAGCAATGTGCTTTGCCGGCTGTGCAACAAGTACCACGTGGGCCATGTGGATGTGACCTATGCCCCCGACACCGCCAGCAAAGATGCCTTCCAAAAGAAAAAGTTGGGCTGCCAGCTCCTGGGGACATACAAGCAAGTCATTAGCACGGTGGCCCAGGCCTTCTAGACAGGAGGCCTTACATATGGACTGAGAGATTTCAGGAGCAGGATCCAGATGTGGGGGGTGGGGACTCAAAGTGTGCTGGGGTTCAGGGCATTGTTAAATGCAAAGGGGGCTGCTGGCAGACCCCAGGGATTTCCAGCCACTCACTGCACTCTGGGCTGGGCTGTGATGGAGTCCATTGAAGCTGAAACTTCCATAGGCAGGGCCTCCAGATAGCCCAGCCCCAGCAGGAAGTGGCATGGAAGAGGCTAAGTGTGGTGAGATTTCTGTCCCACTAACTTCCCTCGGCCTGTTGTTCACTAGGTGTGTGAACAAGATGCACGTGTTGTCTATAGCGGACAGCAAAGGTCTGAGGAGTCTCCTGGTCCCCTGCAGAGTGGCCACCATCTGGACTTTTGCTGTCCCTTTGAGAGACTTTGGAAGGCTTGGTGGTAATGTGGGCAGGCCAGAGGATCCGAAAGGACTCCTTGTCTTTTTGAAGTTTTGTGGGTGGAAGGCAGAGAGGGTACCCTGTGATGGGATGTATCTTCTCTTGAGTTTGATTGGAGAGTTCAGGCTTAGGGACTGTCATGTCAGGTGGAAGATTCTGGAAGGTCACTGGCGGTCTGGCTCTTAGGGATGACGAGAGGCCATCTGCAGGTCTGGAAGTCCCTGAACGAGGCCGAGGCCATCAGAGCGCCATGGACTCATTTTCCCTGCACTTTCCCCCACAACCTGGCACCGTTGGGGTCTCCCAGCTGGACCTAGAGGTGGGGTGTGCACAGGTGGGAAGAAGCAGGTTACAAAGGCAGGGGAGGTGTTCAGCAGGTTCCCAGAGTCCTCCCAGGGACGCAGCTGTAACCCTAGGAGCCAAGGAGGGAGCAAGGCAGGCAAGGTGGGGTGCTAGAAATGCGGGTTTCATCTGTTTCTGTTGATGCCAGAGAACAGGTGATCCTAAACAGACAGAGAGGTAGCCTAGAGTAGAAGGTCACGCCTGAGGCCCTGGAGGTCACACAAAGGTACTTGAGGGGACCGGAGGCTGTCTTGGGTTCCTGGAGCTTGGAGAAGCAGAACTTGAGGTCAGGGTCTCAGGGAAGCTGGAGACCCCAGGGCGCTGTGTGTGACCCAGTGCTGCTTTCTATTTATTACTGTATCCTATTTATGTTAACTTATTGGTGCTTGAAATGGCAAAGTTAATTCCCCGAAACAGTTTGAGGCCCCTTACATGGGTCAGGCCTCACCTTGTGGGGTTTGGTCTGGGAGCTGATGATATTACAGGGAGAATAAGCCTCATGGGTGAAGCGTAGAGAAGGGTCGAGATCAGAGAGCTGCCTAGCTCCGCTGCCTCCCACTGTGACTCACTTTGAGGGTGTCAGGGACCTCCAGAAGGAGCTGGGCCAGTTTGTGGAGTGGTTGATTTTTTTTTTCCTCTTTCTGGTCTCCAGGGGGGCGGAGCAGTTTGTGGTTGTTGTTGTTTTGTTCCACGGTGCTCTCTGGCGCCCCCTGGATTCCTGCTATGCGGCGCACCATTCATCACGAAATGAATGGCTCTGGAACCTTGGGCAAAGCAGATTCCTTGTTCCTCAAAGAGCAGCTGAAGAACACTGAGACATCCTGACTGGGCACCCAGCATGCTTCCACCCAGCATGGAAGCTCCTCGGGTGGCCTGAACACCCACAGAATGCAGGAAGTTGGGGCAGCGCAGGCCCTGAACTGGGCCTGAACGGCTGCCCAGTGCTCCGGAGAAGGGGAGAGCAAAGCCTGGGACACAGACCAGGAAGCTGCGGTCCTTGCTTCATCGCTGCCTTCCCACTCCCGCCCATGTCTGGGCTCCCAGGCAGGGAATCCGATCTGATCTCTCCTTTGTGCTGGGGCCAGGCAAGCAGAGGAACGCCCTCGATCTGGGAGCAGGGTAGGGAGGAAGGCAGCCAAGCTAGGGCAGTGGCTGAGTACAGCACTAGCTGCCTCTCAACCTCAGAGCAGGGCGGCCCTTAGCGGTTCAGCTGCAGGATTCTGCTCCATGCATATTTGCACCTTCCTTTGTCATCCTTTAAGCACTTTACCTGGACAGCAGGAGGATAGCTCCTGAAGCTCTGGGTAGACAGGCCAACCACGGACTCGCGTGCGGCAGATGCGGCAGCGACACCGTGGGCCCCGCTCTTGCCGCTGCATCAGGCCCAGCTCAGGACTGGCTGCGCTTCTCCAGGCTGAGGGGCAGCATGTCTCTACAGCGGGGGCCTGCTGGGCTTTGCCATCACTTCGCATCCCCGTGGGCATGGACTCCCTGGGCTCAGCCCACCTGGCAGCTCTGAAGCTCAGGGACCAATGGACTCTGTGTGCACAGCCCCTGGCTCCATAATACAGCCACCACCTGCCTACATCTGACTCCAGCAGTTCAGAGCCATTTTGCACAACGTCCCAGAATCATGGAGCCTTTGGGCGAAAGAAACCCTTTAGGGGCAGGCAGCTGTGCACCTTGATCTCTTACACCTGCTAGCTGTTGACTCCCATCTGCCATGGTGGGTGGGTAGTGTGCTGGGCCGGAGGAGGAGGGATGGGGCATTTCGCAATTTGTCAAGAGAGAAGCATAGGGTCCCTTATTTATTATTGAAGACTTCAAACCCCGAAGCACTGATAGTTCACTGGTCTCTCCTCCCTGTCCTTGGTCTTTGCTCAAGTGACCCAGCTCTGCTTTGCTGGCTCTCTGGAGCAGACATGGCACGTGGGCCGGAACCCCAGAGTCTTGCACGGGAGTGACTTAAGACGTGCAATGGTATGGCTGTCTGCATTCGAATGACCCCCAGCCCCAGCCCAAGCTCTCCTCTGCACTGCTGGTTCAGCCCATGGGGCCTCAGCTGTTTCCCCTTTCCTTTTCATTGGAAGGGATTTGGCCTTGGGTGACAAATTCCTCTTTGATGAATGTACCCTGTGGGAGTGTTTCATACTGACAGATTATTTTTTATTTATTCAATGTATTTAAAATATTTATTTTTTATACTGAAGGAGTACCTTTTTTTTAAAAGAAAAAATGAATTAATAAAGAACCCACTCTTGTCAAGCCTTCTGGAGTGTATTGATATGGGGGGGGGGACAGCTTGTTGGGACTTGGCTGGACAAAGGGCAGAAGGGTGGAAAGATGAGGCTCCTCCTTTGGCACAGATGCCAGCATCAGCGGGGGTAGAGGGGTGGGATTTTAGCCCAGGAATAACATGGCGAGTGGTGTTCAGAATACGAACTGCTACCCAGAAAGGGGACAGGTTGCTTCCGTGAGTGCTACTGTGTCATTCACCCACCCACGAAACACTCACACCAGCCCAATCGATCTGTTTCCACTTAGCTGAGGCGGCAACTGAAGCCCAGAGAGATGGAACGCCATGTCCAGAATAATTTGAAATGTTGAGGTCACCCCTCCCAATAAGAGGTGCAGCTAGTCCCCAGACCAATGGGCGTGGGCCTGTTCGACTTCAAGCCTCGTGTTCTTCCCTTCACATGGAGTTTCAGGGACTTAGAGATGCCAGCTGTCTGGGACTTTGTCATCCAGGAAGGGTCCATAGTGACATAACGGGTATGGGCTCCAAAGGCCTACATGAAGGAGACAGGTCCTACAGAATCACACGAGACACTAGGCTCTAGCTGGGCTGACTAACCCACGACAGTTTTTCTGCTAGGCTTTTGGGGTACAAGTGGCTCCTCAGGAGCACTGCTGTCAACCCACTCCCTCCCACTGAAAGACGCCTCTCTACAGCGACCTTTCTCCTATTCCTTGGAAAACAATGGGGTTCAAACTGGATAGCCACAGACAGATGTGTCTCTGGGGCTTTGGTCTGGGATTTGAGTCTGGGGGTTCCCTGGGAGAGTCATCCTGGAGACAGGGCAGGGTTCCCATATCTATGGATTGATGCATAGATGTGTCTGTTTGCTGTTGCCCGGATGCTCAGGCTGGACAAGGTAAGGGCTAACCGGTTCTTCTGGGGAGATGGCAATGAGAGAAAAGCTTCTTAGGAGTCGGGGTTAGGGGCAGGAGGTTATGGAATTCCAGAGTCATCAAGAACCTTCAGCCAGCATCCATTTCCTCCTCCGTGCCAGGATAGGATTCACTGCCTCCCACCTCTGCAGAGCTGCTTAGCGTGGACCTCACTGGGAGCGGATTACAGACATGGACTCTGAGCATCTCCCTCCAGCAAGGACAAACTGCAGCATCAGAAACCAGCCGTACCCCTGGGCACCTGTGGGAGAAAGGAAGGCCACACTAACCCACTCCTCCTGAAGTCTCTCTGCCAGCTGGAGCACAGTAGCCCAGGCCTGGCAATCATCCCCTCGCGGGAAGCTGTGATGGTCCTCCCCTCCTTCAGGCAGATGTGCACTGCCCCACCCAAGCAGGCCCTTAGCCGTCCTCAATCCTTATCTGGGTTGGGGGAAAAGCAGGTTGAAGTTCCTTTAAAAGCACAGGCAGGAGCTGCAGGGATGTGGAGCTAAGGTGACCTCTGGGTCTGGTTTTCTCCCCTAGGTCTTTGGTTCCTGGGCTGAAATGACCACCTGCTTGCCCTTTGGAAGAGGGCCCTGATAGAACGATGGTCTGTGAGTTGGCTATTGGGTCACTCTCGAGAGGACAGTGGCAAGCACCTGTGTGCTGTGTGAGAAGGAGGTGGTGCTGCAGGGTCCCTGTGCTGGGGAAGGTTGACTGGGGGTCCTTACCTCTCAGTATCTCTGCATCTGTGAACTTGCAAGAGCAAGCAGTAATGGGAACTGCTCCCTACCTAAGGGTGGTACCTGAGGGAGCGGAGGGGCGAGGAGACAGAGATAGCTTATGAATTGTATCTCTCTCCAAGTCTAACCTGTCCTGTCATGGATGGCAGGGACACACAGCTGGGTGAATGTCACACCCCAGCTGTCTGACTGCTTTGCCATAAGAGTCTCACAGTTCCCCAATGGGCTTAGAAGGGACAGTTCTGCTAGCTCTGAGTCCAAAGCCAGGGCCAGGCTGCTGGGGACGAATTAGAGAGAGTGGATGAGTCTTCCAACAATTGCTCCCCTGATGGCAACTGAGACCCAGGTCCACAGGACCAGGTTACAAAGGCCTCATGCCCTCTGGTACATGGTGGAGCTCTGAGACCAGGGACTGTGCCTATGGGATTGTCCCCGCCCCAGGAATTCAAGAGGACAAGGCCCCTATCTTAAAGTATGACTGCCTACAGATATCCCAGCGGCTCCACAGGTTCATGGGCTCCTAGTTTACAAAGAGCTTTGGTCTTTTGGTCTTCTGTTCCCTTCTGCTTCTGACTCTCATCTGCACCTGGCCAGAGGAACGTGGTCAGAACTGATAAGGGTCTCTTTGTACCAGGGTCTTTACCTAAGGGGCTCAAGTGTTAACTAGAAGAAAGAGAATCTCTTGAGTTAAAAGCCCAGTTCTGAAGATAATGCAACAGGAGAAATCATTTATTGCACCAAACCACCCTGTTTTCAACAATAAATGTGAAGGGCATAATGGAGCCACTGGCATGTTTATCTCCTGATTATAGTCTTCATTGTTCTCAATAGCAGCTACCAGCGGCTCACAATAGAAAGTACATTAAAAAAAACCCTACTGATAACATAGAGAATCAATAACAGAAGATTCAAACTAAAAGAGAGGACTAAGACCAGGGTGGAGGCATGGCGGGAGGAGGGGGGTTCCAGAGTGCAAAGGGCCACGCGGTGCCTACGGCTGGACTTCAAAGTTCCCTGACAGCAAAAGGAAAAAGGGAAATGTGATCTTGTCACATGAGTCTTACAGTTAGGAAGGTAAGCAGAACCTGGGACTAGTCCCTAGAAATCCCTGGAAGGTGGAAGTGAGCCCTACTTGAAGCAACACCTGTATCCCTGGGAGGGCCGTTTCTACCTCAGTCTGTGCAAATGCTGAGGCCCAGTGCAGCCCAACGGGGACTCTACAAGGGGACAGGACGACGGGCATGCAGCAGGACTTTGTCCCTCCTCGAAGGGGAGACTTTTGAATCTTGGTACTAAAAATGTCTCAGAAGCTTCCATCTGCCTTCGGGCTTTCAAAGCCTACTAGGGGACAGAGGATCCAGGCAGAGTCTCATTATGTGCCCCTGTCTAGCCTCAAACTGAAGACCCTCCTGCCTCAGCCTCCTGAGATCACAGGTAGGCACCATCGTGTCCCACTTCCTCTCTTCCTCTCATTGGTTTTTCAAGACAGGATGTCTCTGTGTAACAGACCTGGTTGTCCTGGGACTCAGGAGGTAGAGTCAGGTGGATTTCTGAGTTCAAGGCCAACCTGGTATGCAGAACGCTGGGATTAAAGTCATATGCCACCACCACCCAGCATGCCCTGCTTTCAAAATGCTTTTTGTTTATTTCTGTGTGAGAGTTGTGTGGTGTGCATGTGCTTGTGTGTGTGTGTCCCAAGCCACAGTGTCACAACGAAGGTTTTCCTTCTTTGCTCTTCTTCATCTCAGTTTTGGAGACAGGGTCTCTTGCTGAAACCGAAGCTCACGGGCTGAACTGGCTGGCCAGCAAGGCCTGGAATCCTCCTGCCTCTGCGCCCCCAGCACTAGCATTGCTGCATCCTGGTTTTCCATGAGTTTTGGGGATTCCAACCCTGGTCCTCATGCTTGTACCTTTAAAACCCCCCATTTACTGATCTATAACCAACTCCTAGAACAGGTAGCAGGGTCTTCTCCAGGAAGATTCTGTGAAGGGCAGAGCCCAATAGCAAGGGTGTCCTGAGGGAGCCAAGGAGGTGGCAGGAAAGAAGACCAGGAAGGGATTTAGAACTTGTGGCCTTGAGTGTCTGCCCTCACACCTTATTCCAAGGCTACTTGGGTCTGATGGAAAGTCTTTGGTCACTGGCTTTCCTGGCAGCTTCCGGGGCTTCCTCCTGCAATCACAGAGGCCCAGCTTGAATCTTTCCCTTTGACTTGGGGAAGTCTGGCCTCACCCCAAGCGCCAAATATTTCAATTATGAGGACGTGGTCCAGCCCTGCCCACTCCATCCAGCCTCGCGGACTGGGGGCGGGTGTATGTGAAGAAGAGGGGGAGAGCCGCAGACGGACCACAGATGGGGACCAAGC